CACACACCCACACACACACACACACACACACACACACACACACACACACACACACACACACACACACACACACACACACACACACACACACACACACACACACACACACACACACACACACACACACACACACACACACACTCACACACGCGCGCGCACGCGCACGCGCACACACGCACACACGCACACACGCACACACGCACACACGCACACACGCACACACGCACACACGCACACACGCACACACGCACACACGCACACACGCACACACGCACCCACGCACCCACGCACCCACGCACCCACGCACCCACGCACCCACGCACCCACGCACCCACACACCCACGCACGCACGCACGCACGCACGCACGCACGCACGCACGCACGCACGCACGCACGCACGCACGCACGCACGCACGCACGCACGCACGCGCGCGCGCGCACACACACACACACACACACACACACACACACACACACACACACACACACTCACACACCCACACACACACACACACACACACACACACACACACACACACACACACACACACACACACACACACACACACACACACACACACACACACACACACACACTTGCGCGCAAACAACATGCACATACGGGACTGCGCGCGCTCGTTCCTGCAGGCCGGCCTCAGGGAACCCTAAGCCGTAAACCTTGTGGCGTTGAATTTGCTTTTTGACATCATTCGTCATTCAACCTAGTTAGTTTTACGAGAGTCCTCGGCCTCGTTCTTCAAGGTGCCATGGGGTCTCTCACCGGGATAAATTTTGCCTAAACCTTCCAAGTCAGGGGTTGCTTTTTACAACAAGGTTTAAGTCGCAGCGACATGGACGAATGTATTGTTCATACCACGATACTTTAACGCCTTCGGCTCAGACTGCCGACGTTGCAGGCCTGTTTGCGTATATGCGTCGTCCAAGTGCGGTGAGTATGGTCTTTTCCCTAGCTGGGGATGCCTGTAGGTTTTTGTTTGCAACATCCTCGGTTATTTGGGAAAGGTCCCGGCAAGACAAGTGGGGGCCTTTCCGTTTGACCCTGTTTGCGGAATGTCATTCTGATAACGCTGGCGATGCTGGTGATGTTGCCCTAGTGCTGCTGAGGATGCAACAACGATGTTCCATTTCGGCCGCTTTTGCCGGGGGTCGGTTTTCAGTATGGAACGCCTAATTGAAAGGTTTCGGGCGGTATTGCGTAGTGACTGGAACAAGCAATTGTCAGCCTTTACACACCATTGCGAGCCTATTGGCTAGCATCTTGCGCAGGTTCCTCACGTTGAGGCGATTTGCTTCCGCAGAGGACAGGGATGCCCCTGCCTCGCCTGCCTTGCCTTTCTTGTCTTTGTCTTGAGTATGGCTGCGCATGTGCAGGATGTTGCTCGGTGCTGCCGAGAGGAAAATCGAGAGTTGTGGGTGACGTATTGTCCTCCAGCCAGGCAAGCTTCGAAAGTGTTGTGCTTGCTTGGCACTGAGATTTGGCAATCTTGCTGCAGGTCGGAACAGCCACAGCACCAAGAAGTTGCAGTACCATTGTCGACAGGGCAAGCATTCCAGTTTCTTTGTTTCTTGTCAATGAGAGTGATGGTCAATATATATATATATATTGCTCCTCTACTGTTCTAAAGGAGCAATGTTGCGTACACTCGACAAGATACCAGTAGTGAATAGGGGTTACTTGGGTGTACGCAGTGAATATTGACCGTTGCTCATGTCGTGCTTTCTGCATGCTGCTAGACATGAGTTGGGGCACCAGATGCATTTGTGGTCATGAAAAGATTGAGGTATGTGCCCTCTCCACTGCCGCGGCTTGCGCTGGCAAGAGCCTGTTATCGCAGTGAACGGATTATCAGAAGGCAAACTTCACATTTGTCACTCACAGCACTTCTCACAACGACTCACGAAGTTCTTGCAATCAACATTCGGATTCCTAATGAACTTTGTGGTGCATCTAGGTCCTCGGGACCGAGACTGATGGCATTTCTGCAGCAATGCTGGAGCAGTCGTTCCGTGCTGTGCGCATCAATACACTAATCCGTTTCGCAACAGGCAGATGTGGGCTAAGTGGATTCATTTGTTTGTACTTTTGTTTTTTTCCAAATTGAACGTCACGATGATGCTGTGGCATTTTGGTTTGCTTGGGCCTGTTTGCAGGTATACCTGCCAATGTATGGCTTTGTGCAGTCGCTGAATGTTGCTGCCGTGGGCTTAGGGAGTCTTATGCTGCCGCCTTGCCGTTGGCATGCCAGGACCAAGCATCAAGTTGCTCATATACCTCCAAGCCACATGTAACCACCTGGCTGAGGTTGCCTGCGGCATGCTACTCCAACGCCTTTTTGACCTGTGCCCTGAAGCGAGAGGGGTGTTGCTGGCTACTCTTGGAACCGAATTCTAGGGTTGATGAGATTGATCACATACTAGGACCTGAGCGCAGATGCGCAGCAGATCCTTGTCCGGCGCTTACTGGCCAGAGGAGTGCTGTTTGACTCAATTTGGAGGCTGAGAAGGCCACCAGTCTTCGGGCGAGCGGGGTGGAGGAAAGTAGCAACGGCAAGAATTGCTTATTTTTCTGGAGAATAGTGGGAATATCATGATTCACGCAGGACTGCGCTGACAACACGTCTCAGAGCTGGCCACCAAGCGCAGTCTGTGTGCCATTCTTGCTACTTTCACCTGCCTCAAGGTTGGGAAGATGAGCCTGGCACTGTTCTTGGCGAGCGGAAAACAACTCCGGTGATTATGTCTTTGTCAAAACATCCATTTCAGTGAAACATGAGCCGAGTTCCACATACAGCTCTATTCGTGCGTATTAGTTGCATGTTGTGGGCATATGAGTGGAAGCTGCCCAGCAAGTCTCAGCATATATGCTTTGAGCAGGCAGTGAAATCAAAGCACGCCAATCAAAAAACGGGAAGCATGGGTGAGCCTCAATGATACTGACAAGACATGAAGAAACAAATACGTACGAGCGTGAAGAAGCAAAGGCAGAATGTACCCTGTTAGAAGTGTGTTCTTTGGGTGCGAAGTTGGGGCGGACAGGTTCCGTACTTTGTTCATCGTGTTATTGTGGATAGGTCTACTGGCTGAGGTATATCACTGTTGAGGCCTATAGTTTCGTGAATCAGGTGAAATGGAGAGGTCTGCAAGGCCATAGGCTGCCCCCGTTGGGCCGACTCCTTTTCTGCACCACTGGACAGCTTTTGGATTCCCAGACTACATGAGAAAGGAAGCCAAAAGGGGGTCTTGAATGTTGGTATGTTGATGTTGGTTTTCTTTTTGTCCAGAGATGGTTCACTTTTTTTTTCTTCTTCTCTTTTCCAGGGTTTTCGCCGGCAAAATGCAGAGCCACTACGAAGAGAGGTCTCATTCAAGAGTTGGGTGGTCAGGGGGTGAAATTGAAAAACCAAGCAAAGAATGTTGATACACCCACGTTATGGCTCCCTTAACGACACAATTTCATCAACTTGAGACAAGTAATCCGAAGGGTAGCTTGATAGTCCGCCTTCTAGCTGCTGGATTATCTTTGCTCAACTCATGGGAGCAGTATTTTCTCGTCCGTCAACAGCAGGAACGACAGAAGAGTAACATTGACCTCACGCCTCACGAGCAATGAGCAGAGGTGAGCAGTATTTCGAGACATCACGGGAAGGGACTTGATAAGGTGTCGCAAATCACATACCAGAAACACATACACAGCCTTGAGGCTTTCAAGCACAATACCACGGTCAAGTCTGTCCTTGGCCTGGCAGTTTCTCAGTCTTTTTTTTTGGGGGGGGGGGCAACAAACATGCGCAAGGCTCGCCAGGCGGAAACGCAGAAAAGAATGGCAGATGTAGTGTCCGAATCTCTTAGCTGGCCATCTTTTCCTAATTCCAGGCCACAGCATTGCTGACCTTTTGGAAGAAGTGGCTGGGCGTCGAGCACCGCATGCAGCAGTGGACGGGCACGAAAGGTTGCGGTCCCACACCAGCTAGTCGTTTCCTAGGGCGGTGCAACGGGTTTGCATGCCCACCAAACAACGTTGACTTGGTGACCAGCCAGCCAGAGAGCGAGCAAGCAAGCAAGCACGCACGCAGGCACGCGCGCAAGCCCGAAAGCCTGCAAGCCCGCAAGAAAGCAAGCAAAGCACGCAATCACGCCAGCGCGCAAGCAAAAAAACCAACAGGCCCGCAAGTCCGCAAGCTCGCAAGTGCGCAAGTGCGCATACGTCGCACGCATCCACGCAAGCAAGCGCGCAAGCAAGCACGCAAGCAAGCACGCAAGCAAGCACGCAAGCAAGCACGCAAGCAAGCACGCAAGCAAGCACGCAAGCAAGCACGCAAGCAAGCACGCAAGCAAGCACGCAATAACGCAAGCGTTGAGGAAATTCGTGTCTCAAGCAAAGTCCCTAGACTCGTGCTAGACCTTAGAACTCTAAACCTGCACTCAGATCAAAAAGACCAACATGGACAGCCACCAGAATGTTCAGATCAGAACAAGAGAAGGCGCCGAGACCGGTTGCCATGCTTTGATGGTCCGCTAGAAAGGCGTGCGCGACCGGGAACACGGTTGCTTTGCACAAGTTTATCAAGTGTTTTGTTTCCAAGACCATTGGTGTTCCACCGATGAACATGTGGGGACGAACGATCATGCGGCAAGCCAAGCCAGTAGCAAATGCGCGCATTCCCGAACGGTGCCAAGTTGCACGGCGTCGGCCCTCCCCAGCGGGTTTAACTCTACAGCTGCAAGTCGCAGCTACAAGTCGCATGAATCATGCTTTCTATTCCGTCATCCAAGTCGAGACCATCTCTGCAAGCAGATGGTTCACCGCCATCAAGTAGTGCCTTAGCGTGTCTCAAAGAAAACAGTAGGTACGCAGTTCAAGTATCCTCTTGTGTTTGAGGTCCTTGTTGGACATGCTTTTCGAAGGTCTTTTCACCATGCTTCAGCTTTGTCCCAGCAAGGCCTATGCAGCAAACTATCTCTTTTGCCACTTTCTGCAATATGTTGAATCCAAGGCGTTGACCTTCACACAGAGGGAGTGGTGATCCGAAGGTCGAACGCAGTTTCGGGCTTCGGGACTCTCGGTCCTTGCGGGCACCTACAACACGGTGCAACATCGACATCGGCCGTGTGGGCTACCTGCGCCACAGCGTGGTGTCAGCACCCGCCCGGGCAACCTTGCTCGGTTCACCTTCAAGGGCCTGGACGGCACGATGACGGACCTGTTCATCACCTGGTGGCCTACCAGCTGGTGACGCTCCGGCACGGGCGTCTCGGTGCTCGAGCCATGCAAAAAATCGTGCAAAACAAGCTATCTCCCCGTAACTGCACAAACGGCTGGGAGAATGCGACGGATCTCACACATTCCATAGTTCTACATCTTTTTTGCCGACTGAGCGCAGCTCTCCAGCCGTGAGCTTGGAGAACTGAGTCGCCACATCGGAACTGGCTATGTAGGCCATGCCGGCCATTTGGGCGAGTCAAGCTTTCCGTTGCCCGCGGCTTGGCCTCAACCCTTTGAATCCCTCCTACACGGAATTCCCCCACGTGGCGGGAATCAAGCTTGGGGCCTTGGCATCATGATGCTCAAGTCCAAAGCATGTTTCGAAACATCCAGACAGGCATACACCACCGCGCTCCCTGTTACCCTTGCAAAGTGTTTGAGACTGCGCCAGGACGCTCGTTAACACCAGAGTCTACTTGCTCCGGCCTGCAATCACATGCTGTGGGCGTTGCTCTGCGGAGCCTGGGTGTGCAGCGTCTTCCAAAACCAGCATGCTGGCAATAACACAATTGCCGAGAACCGAGAGCACCCACATTTGTCGGCAAGAAGGTGTCATTGGGAAAGAAGGTGAGCAGGCGTGCTTAACGCAACCCCATCCCGCAATCCCCCTGCCCGAACAACGTATTGCAACCCCCGGCGATCTACAATCTATCATCCGGCTACGCGGATTTACCAGTGCAAATAACGTTGTCCGTTTTGATTTGAACAGTTCTCAAGTGGTGAGCCCAGCGCGCAAACACCTTCGCACTTCGTGACTCTGAGCCTGCCTTTGACAATACCAAGGCCTTGTGGTTCCACGGCAGACTTAGTTCCATCAGCACTTTTGATACAGGAAGTCACAGCTGCAAGAGGGTTTTGTGAACGGAAAGGGCACCATGTCAGAAGCTTGTTGCCACGCATCCGAGATGCACTGCCGGGGGAAGGCACATGCACACCACACATTGCCAGGAACTTTGGACGTGAGAGAAGACTCAATCCTGATCCTGCTTACCAGCTAAGCAAGCGAAGTGGTGCAGATTCCAGTGGCATGCTTCGAACCAGTAGTGTTGAGGAGAAACACACAAAGGCTGTTCGAACAGACTACGCGGCAACGTTTGAATGGCTTGAGCTAATTTTGCTGTGGTATCAGGTATTTGGAAGCGCTCCCAACAATCTCGTCTTTCATGACAACACAGCATTGAGCCGGACGGAAAGTGTAGACAGTTTCGCCCGCGCAGTTTCCTTGGAACTTGCTGGCAATGGCATCATGGGAGTCCTTGAAAGCGAGGGCAAAGGCGAGCCCAAGCATTGCATAAGATGTCACAGAGCCCTCGTGAGGCGCTCAAGTCCGAGTTGGACACGAAGATGCAGGACACATACCTCAATTCCCCACTTACCTTACGTGGACAAGGTTGGCCAGTGGCACAGCTCAGCCAATGCAAGGACCTTGGCCGCCTGAACAAGCGGCTGAGTACAGCAACGGCTTCCACACCAGCTGACCGTGTTGCTGAGCTTGACGGGTGCGCTTGACGCTCATTGGCATAGCGCGTCTGATCTGTTCATGCAGTGAGCATGACATTGTGTGACATGCCAGGCAGATAAAATTGGTTGTGGGACTGAGAGAAGAGGCGCAGCCGCAGAGCTGAGCGTGCTTGTTTGTTGGTCAGTGAATCTCGAGCAGCACAGGTTGAGAGAGGGCTCAGCCAGCTCGAGGATGCTCTTGTGGCCAGTGGCTGGAACTTAGTGTGTTTGGGTTTGAAATGCAGCCCTTCAAGAAGCCTGTCTTCAAAAACAAGTATGACTGATAGTACCGGCAAAGTGAAAGCGGTGTGACCTCAATGGCTGTGCTGCGCCTGGAGCAAGCGAGAGGGCAGCTTGATGCAGGAGGCCAGCGAAGCACTTGCCAATGTGGCTGCAACCAGCGCCCAAGCGGCCCAAGCCGCAAGATTTCGCGAAACCCAGCAGGACCAATGACGGGTTCATACGACTGGCAAGCCATTTTTTAGGGAAACACATGCATCAACTGGCCTTTGACCCACTCGAAGGAGATGCTGAGAGACTTCAAACGAATTGCCCAAAGTATTGATCATCAGTATCAACATGCCAGGCGGGGCCATGCGTGGAGCGGCATGCATGTCCTTTGCGGATTTGCGAGGCTGCTTCCATCTTCTAGACACAACAAGCCTGGAAACCCGTCCTTTCACAGGAGTCCTTGTGACTCAGGCACTGTGAATCAAGGCAAGTCAAGGCGTCAGCCAGCATGAACACATTGGCAATACCAAGGTCCGCAGCCAGCCTGCCACAAGTTTGAGCTGAAGCTTCAAAGTGCTCTTGTTCCAGCCGACATTTGCCAGGATGCAGAAGATGGTCTCATGCGCGAGCGCAACTTGGCGAAACACGTGCAAAATGATAGCTCTAGGTGTTGCATCAGCAACTTGATTTATCGCACCTGCCAACAAAGCCCGAGCCCTGCATTTCAGGAAGCGGGCTCAACGCCGGTTAAGTCAATGTAAACGCTTCGCGCTGAACGCGTGGCCAGCATCAGCCGGATTCTTTTGGCCGGCTTTGAAGCGCGAGTTTACTAGAGGTTTCAAGTGGGCAATTCACCAATTTTATGTTAGAGGAGCCTTTCTTAGGCGTCAGACCCTTTTCTGACCGGCAGGGTTTCAGCACTTTTCTCGAGTCGTTCTTGGGGTTTGGGCCCACCAGCTGCCAAGCTAAACAGCACGAGACGGCGTTTCAGGCCGTCATAGGGCCCACGGCAGCATCCAGTAGTGGCAAAGGCAAGAGTCCGCGACGCAGTGTCTGCAGCTCTCCCGACCGTTGCCTAGAAACTTGTCACCGCACATTCATATACTTTCTCAAGAAAGCTAACCTTCACTTCAGAAAGCTTGCTGAGTAGGCTATCTGATCGCATAGGCCATCTGATCCTCGGTAAGTTATCTATCTCCGCAAGGTACCATTCAAGTAGTTCCGGAAATTCTTCTAATCTTTCATGGCGCAATTGACCGGTCACATGTGTGAATGCCAACTTGCAGAATTGTATGTTGCATGTTTGTTTGATTGTTTGTTTGTTTTTGGTTTGTCCGTCCGTCGGTCCGTCTGTCTGTCTGTCTGTCTGTCTGTCTGTCTGTCTGTCTGTCTGTCCGTCTGTCTGTCTGTCTGTCTGTCTGTGAACTGTCTGTCTGTGAACTGTCTGTCTGTGAACTGTGTCTGCCTGTCAGTCTGTCTGTCTGTCCGTCCGTCTGTTTAAGTGTTTGTGTATTTGCGTGTTTGTTTGCTTGCTTGTTTCTCTGTTTGTCTGTTTGTTTGTCTGTCTGTCTGTCTGTCTGTCTGTCTGTCTGTCTGTCTGTCTGTCTGTCTGTCTGTCTGTCTGTCTGTCTGTCTGTCTGTCTGTCTGTTTGTCGGGTTGTTCGTTTGTTTGTTTGTTTGTTTGTTTGTCTGTCTGTCTGTCTGTCTGTCTGTTTGTTTGTTTGTTTTTTTGTTTGTCTGTCTGTCTGTCTGTCTGTTTGTTTGTTTGTTTGTTTGTTTGTTAGTCGGTTGGTCAGTCGCAGAGGCATGGATGAATGACGTTCCGATGGGGCGCTTGCTGCAAGTGGCTAGAAGTCATCAAGAAGCATCCGCCGACAAAGACTAATATGCGATGGAACTTTTGAACTGATTATCCGTGTGTAGTATGAACATGGACGTGTGCATGAAACATGGTCACGCTTGCAATGTCAGCAAGACACCTTCAGAAGGTTGCGCGACTGAGGCGTAAGGTTGATCAGGCATTTGCTCTCTGGGATTCGTCACATTGTGGACTTGTTCGTGCGCATTGCACTGTTGCAGACTGCGGTCAATACAGATGTGTGTTTGCTTCATGATTCAAATTGCGGAGAATTCCTGCCTAGCCCATTTTCATATATTCCGCAGATGTCGTTCAACTCTCGTGTGGCCGCCCCATTTGCCGCTCTTTGCATGTCAGGCATGGGACTAAACTCCTCCCTGTCAATGGCCGACGAGATTATTGGCCAAGCCTCTGCAACCCGGGATATGCTCATGAACCAGCGAGGTGTCCGTTCCTTAGAACAGGCAAACTAAGGAGATGGACACAGCCACTGTGCTGAGCTAGTATGATTGGACTTTGAGCAGGCATGCTTGTCTTGTGAAATTTGCAAATGTGACTGTGCGTGTTCACCTCTTGATATGATTTTTTTCAGATGGCTGTTCCAGCAGCCAACAGAGCACAGCCTCAGGTGCTGAACAGTGTGCACGACAGAGTTGGATCCCTGAGCTCTATGTTTCCTGGCATCAACTCGTTGATTGACAAGATTTCAGACCGAAAGAACAAGGACACGCAGTGTCATGTGACTCTCAGTGTGCATTTGAGCAGCGGTAACTTCTGCAGGAGAGGGTGGTTCTTTCCATTACGATCGCGCCCCACGCTCCAGAATGGGGTTGGTGCACGGGAGAAGCTTGCGGCAACGTAAAGTTGATAGCATTGTATTGCCAGCTGCAGCCAAAGTAAAGTCAATTTTCCATCGCACTTGCAGTTTCAGTCTTGACACGGTGAACACAATCACACGCCTTGCATTGCCTCACTGGATGCTCAGCTTTCAGCTTACCTATATAGGTTGTTTTCTTTATATCATTTAGCAGTGCTGTCCAGCAATGTTTGGCTTTTGTCAGGAAAAAATGAAGGCTGCAAAACGTGGGTGGGACGCTCTTTGTGTTATGTGGTAACAACAAGTAAAATGGTATGCCTGTGGTCCCACAATGCGCGTACACGGTTGTTCACAGTGCCTACATTGGCTGTGGTCAATAATCTCGACACAGCTTCGTAACTTTCGCTTGACACCTTGTGACGTTTCGCATGCCTTTGCAGCTTGCAGCTTCTTTGGAGCCGACGAACTACAGCTGCCGCGCTGCCTCATTTCTATTCTAATCTTCTGACGTGCACGAGTGCTTAGAAGGACAGCGGTGATGGGCAGCCGCCTGCCTCCAGGGTTGCGTTCTTCCCTATTGTCATAACGCGCGCGCGCATACATGAAGACAGCACAAAGCAATACCAAACATGCACAGCCATCCTAAGATTTTGAACCTGCCTGCCTGAGCATATTTTGCGAGTAAGCGGTTTGGGGATAGCGTCAATGGCCAACCGCACCCGGCAGCTGCACCCAGCTAATATCCGCAGCACCAGGCGCATCTGCCATTCAGCACAGTTGAATTCCGGGAGGTGTACTACTGCACTGTTTAGCTGTGCGTTGTAATAGTGCCAAACTGACATGACGCTCAGGGAGTTTCCAGCTGGCATTGATGGGCAAACCATCCGTGCTCTCAGGTCCTGCTGCTTCTTCACAATTTGGTACAAGTTTTTGTGATGGCATCCTCAGAACAACGGACTGCAGTGCAGAGTCCGATGTGCACAAAGCTTGCATCTACTGGAGCAATGATGTGGGACAAGACAAAAACAGTTATTTATGATACCTGCTGCGACAGACAGTGGCACATACAGCACACTTCGCATCGGGCACTGAATAACTTGCATGCCCGCACCATTTGGCTCAGTTGATTGGTCAGTTTAGTTGATGCAGTCCTCCAATGATTTGGAGAGGTGCCTTGTCACAACTTTGAACTTGGAGCTTCTGCTTTGCTCAGGAAACTAGTGACCTGCACAGACGGCGAATCTTTGCTTGTTGCTGGCAGGCCTAAGTGTTGCCGCGCCACTATGTAGCCTTATTGTGCCGCCGGTAGCCTCTGGCAGTATTCCCCCTTGGCATGGCATTGGCGAGCCGCACCATGGCAGGTACCAACCGACGCAGATGCGCGGGGTCTACAGGCTGCTTGAAACCCAGTTTAGTCTTTCAATCTTTATATTAGCGTGATGCATTAACAGGTTGACATGGTTTTCCTGCTGGCACCTGAGGCAGTCTGTGACGATGCAGCGAGATGGTCTCAGCTACCATGGGTCGGGCTCCAGTGTGTCGTTTTGCTCCAGTTCACTGCCAGTTGGCTAGCATCATTCTTTGCAGGACTACTTGAGCTACCAGGAGGCGCTCTCCTGGACTACTCTCGGATGGACGCAAGGTGCTTAATGTCCTAGTCCCTACACACAACTGTCTGACCTGGCGCACCTTTGACCTTCATAGTGGCATGTTGCACAACGCGTGTCTATCCCCTCCCCCGGGTAGGGTGTTTCAGAACATGCACGAAAACCATGCTCGCAGAACATGCCCTGGGAGCCACTACACTCTGTGCAAGTCTCTCTGCCCTGTGCAATTTGCTCGTGCAAGTTGCCCTGCCCAAGTTGCCCTGCCCAAGTTTCCCTGCGCAAGTTGCCCCGTGTAGAGTCGCTCTGTTGCTCTGTGTTGCTCCGCGCAAGTTGCTCTGCGCAAGTTGCTCTTTGCAAGTTGCCTTGTGCAAGTTGCCCTGTGCAAGTTACTTTATGCAAGTTGCTTTGTGCAAGTTGCCAGGCAAGTTGTTTTGTGCAAGTTCCTGCGCAAGTGTTTCTTGACGTGGCTTGGTCAATTCGCTGCGCTCCTTGTGTACTCAAAAGTTGTGATTTCGGAGTTGGAGCAGCGGGAGCATACTTCGTGTGCTACGGTTGGCGATGAAAAGCTGCGATTTGGGTGCTACTTTCGTTCCGAGATGTTGCCATTTTTATCTGGCAAAGCCTGCCCGCGGACATTCGCGGAGGGTCGTGCGGGAATGTTAAAAAGTCAAGCAAGTCCTCAGCCTTTGCATATCGGCCATGCCGATCCGCGCAGAGGGTCGCGCAATGAATAGAACACATAGTAATAGTTTGAACTTTTTAAACCACACCGATCCCCGCAGAGGGCTGCGCGGGCAGGGCAGCTCAGAAAGTCGCAACAACCACAAGTTTTGGAGCTTTGACCACCCGATTTGCGCCTTGCAGAAGTAGCAAGAGCCTCGAGTTTTTGAGCCTCGACCACCCCACACCTATCCCCGCAGAGGAATGCGCCGCGACCGGAGCAAGTTCTCTGAGCAAGTGTCTCTCCTTTTTTTTGTTGTTTTATCTCTGAGCATTTTTTCTCAACGGGTTTTGAGGAAGTTCTTTGAGCAAGTTTTATTTGAGCAAGTTTCTCTGAGCAAGTTCTTTGAGCAAGATCTCGCTGAGCAAGTTCCTTGAGTTGAGCAAGTTTTCGGAAGGGCTGGACTGGCGGCGTGGTCAAAGGAGAAACTCGGTAGGGCGTGCAAAACGATTGGGACCGTCGTCGGAGGGTGTTCGCTTGTTTACTTTGTGTTTTTCTCCGGAGACCCATTTTGTCAAGAAAACATGGGTGAACACCTCGGGGTTTGAGCGACCTTTGGAACTGGCGCAGTAGAAGAATGAAGGAATGGCGCACCTGAAGCCAGTCGTTTCAACAACAAAGTTAATGGACTGCCATCTCCTTCCAGTGAATCACTTGAAAAGCGGTAGATGCGATATTCGGGTCAGATGGATGAAGAACTGTAAGGCGGAATGCTTGCTATTTGCTTGGCCTTTGAACATTGCCGCGTTATTTGCCTTGCCAACACCGTGTTCCTGACATCACACTGGTACGGGAACCCTTGCGTGCCGCATTCCGGACATCAACTGCCGGCAGCGGCTTGCGATGCTTGAAATTGATCGGCAGAAAGCAACTCGAAACACCACCGCCGCAACATTCTGACGCAGGTTTTGCACAGCAGTCCCATGAGGCTTCGCTCGCATCATCACTCGGTCCAAGAATCCTTTCTGGATTGACGACCACACCACCCCTGCACTTTCTGCATCTCCATCGGAAAGACAAGATGACCAGGAAGCCATCAAGTGCCAATCTTCAGAAAATGCGAAAACTGTCACCCTTCTGGTTGCGCGTTGCGGGTGCCGTAATGACCTCAGGCAGCCGACCTGTCTGTGAAGCTTTGTTTCCATTCCCATGTGATGCAGGCGTCCCTATTCTCCCAGCAGGGCCTACTGCTGCGTGTGATATGGCTTGATTTGTTTTGCTTTCATGGTTTGAATGTGCTGAGTCGGGAAATGTGGGACGCGGCTCACCCCATTGCCACCACGACAGCGGGAGCCTTGAGCTGCTGTTTGGGACAAAGAAGGATCAAGTGGCTCGAGGCTACATGTGGCTCCATGCAAAAAGACACAGCTGCTTCCTAGTCTTTCTAGAATAATGTTTGAAGGCTTTTAGAGATCCGACAACTCTGACCCTCTGCTTTGCATGTGAGCTGAAAGAGCTCAAGCTTTTCTTGAGGCACTTTCCATCACCACCACATTCGGGAGGAGGATAGGGCTGTTTTGGCACTTGGTGCTGTAGTCTCTGGCGTTTTCCATTTTTCCATTTAATCTGGATTGTTATTTTCTGCCGCCCCATGCGACCTGTACAGGCTTGGAGAGGATGATGACTTTGGTGCTCCTTTTGATGCTGATGCAGGAGGCAAGAGCGGACATTGTCATTGCTTTGGCTTCGATCAAGTGCTGCGGCTAGGGTCTCGAAAGCTGCAGAGCGGGACCGACCCAGTTGCTGGCTAAAGCCGGAGTCGTATTATGCCAACCGAGACGACTGTGGCCAGCAGGACAAATGCTCTCACCACAACTCCGTTTCCAGTGTCTGTGGCTAACCCGACCACGTCGTGTCACTTTTCTGCTTTGGTGCTGCTAGGCCTGCAAGTGAGACGTCCTGCTATCAGGATTTGACAGAGGCCACATGCACACGTTTGCTTTTTTGCTCACATATTTTTCAACTTTTTGCCTATCTAGCTGTTGGATTCGATGCAATTTTTCCAGGCCCAGCAAGACGCTGTTCGGACTCTTGGATACACCATATCCTCCTGGCATGTGCACCTTGGTTGCGAGTTTAGATTGAGAGAGAGAGAGAGAGCGAGAGAGAGAGAGACATATCGATGACACTCGTTGGCAACCAGAGCGACCAATGTCACGAAGAGTGAATTTGAGTAGGCAGCAGATACAAGTGCCTACATGGCCAGGGTCTAGGTTGCATGTCTGCGGCAAGGTGCAAGAACCCGTCCTGTCCATGGCCAACTGGCATTCCGGCGCCAAATGCACCATGCCTGGAGGCTTGTTGCAATCTGTGTCGGGGAAGCTACTTCGATGTCTTGAGTGCAAGAGATCCAGCTGTCCAGGTTCTTGAGTGGTTCGACTCCTCGCCGCAACCTTGGCGTGACATGCCTTAGCATGACAATCTCATTTGCATTCACTTGCTTGACACAAGGCTGTACACGCGAAATTGGGCAGACTTGACACAGTCCAAGCGAGATGCGTTGGAGCTTTTGGGCTGGGCACTCCTTGCTGTATTTACGAAATACATTCAGCTGAATGAGAAATTGTATGGCAGCACCATGACAGGCTCATAGCCGATGGATGGTGATGGACTATCCTCTATCGTATGCCCAGCTGGAAGCCAAGATCGCAGTCGAGAAGCCCAAATCACCCAAAGTGACTTAGGCTGTGGTATGAGCTTCAACCTCGGCAGCAAGAAGCAGCTGCATTCCTTGGTTACACAGTGGAGGCTGCGCAAGAGCTTCCTGCATGTGCAGTGATTGGAGTTTTGCTAGGTTTGGGAAAGATGCGAGAGAGCAGCGTGTCCGGCTGAGCTGGCACTAAACATGAAACATGCTGGCGAGGCAGCTTGCTGCTTGAAACCAGTCTGTTGCATGAATCCTTCGTTTCCTTCTGGCCCAAGGCCGTGCATCACGCGCTTGGAGCTTTTGGAGGCTTTTTACTGCTTAAACATGTACTGCTGAATTTGCCCTTGCCAGAACAAGTGGAAGACGCTGGGATGGAGAGAAATGCAGCAACCCTTTCAAGACAGGCGCAGAATTGGTGTCAGATCAAGCAACAGGAGGTGCCTGATATGCACCACAGGTTGCGAGAGCTTGGCTACGATGAGGCACATTGAAATGCAGGATGCAGTGCTTGCATGGAGAAGAGCCCTGGCCAACAGAAACGCTGGACAAATGGCGATGGAGCAACTCTCACGGAGGCGGCCTGGCGTTGATGCAGTACGGCCAGTATGGCTCAGCATGTCAAGACATGTTTTCGAACCTTGCGGTTTCCCAGGCATACATCGATCTCAGTGATGCGGAGATTATCTCCGTGAGGCTTGCAGGCAAGGCGCCACGACACAGATGCGTGTACATACCTTGTTGTTGGCAGACAAATCATCCCGGCCTGAGCACCCCCTGTGACTTTGTGCCTGGCATGCGGGTTCTCTTCGTATTGTTTTGCAGGAGGGAAGGACAAGAGTGAGTGTGCGTGTGTGACATGCCCATGCCCATGGAGCTTCAGGTTATGTGTCAGACACATGGGTGTCTAACTCAGGACCAATTTGCCCGTTCAGATGTTTACAGTTCTGTGCATAATCTAGTATGCAACCAATACCAAGGATGGCTGCCCAAATGCCCAGTGTGAGGATCGATTCAGGCTGATTCGTGTCGACGTGTGTTTGTGCTTGTGTTGATGACGCACTGGTGAGCAGTGGCGGAGAGCTATGCAAGTCGAAGTGTCGCCCAGCTATTTGAAGCGCAAGTACACGGGCGTCGCCTGGCTCGGCCTCACAGCCCGCTTCCCAGAATGTGGCAAAGGTGTAGCCAAAGGAAAAGGCAAAGAAAGACGTAGCAACTGAAAGATGCATTGAGTTGCTCGCAGTGCAGGTTGCACAGCGCCGCGCGTGGCACCGCTGCCCTGTTTGCAAGTCACACGGTATTAAGCACAGCTCGATCCAGAGAGTTGTCCGTGCTAGGCAGCTGCTTGACCACAGTGAGCAGCTGTGGTCCGGAGGCATGATGAACACCATCAGCATGCAGGCGTCACAGCGTCGCAGTTGGGATGTGTTGAATCACTGGACGTTGCAGTTGACCTGGGACGAGCTCTCTCTGGAGCAACGAGCACAGGCCTGTGAGCTCTCATTTGTTCTTGAACGCTTGCTTTGAAGGAAGATCATTGCTCTCAGGCGGAGTTTCTGGGCTTCTCCAAAGGTACATGGCAGGGGTGCAATACTGCCTGGGTGCCCGCCGGCGGATTTAGCTCTTCTTGAAAGACCATGATGAAAGTTCATTGCCAGGGACAAAATACTGGCGGAAACGCCACCCAAAATGATGGCATTATATCTACCAGCATAGCGGGCTCCTTAGTTGGCTGCCAATCATTCCCGGGTTTAGGCCGGCCAGACTCGATGCAGTGATGTTTCGGCTCAGTCATCCGGAAGACTTGGCAGGAAAGGACTGTTCGAGCCCGGATGGTCATCCGTCGGCCCTTTGCAGAAGTTTCAGGGAACGCTCCAAGCTCAGCTCTTGCAATCAGCCGTGATTCTGCAGCCGCTTTTGGGCAAGGTCTACGGCTCGGCAGTCGATCGGCTCCCAACTTCCTTCATTCAGGCGCAACATTTCATTCCACGCGCAGCAGTCACGCGCCAAGAGCCAGGTGTTTGAGGAAGCAGTCAGCAGGGCGTTGTTCTGCAGCAATCCTCCTCTCAGTGAAGATCCGACGGGGACTTGGTCATAGTCATGCGTGGCTAATGAGTGATTCAAATTGGCTATACACAAGCAAGTTGAAATGAGGAGCACATATGTCGACGTGGACGGAACACCGCTGTGCATTCAGAAGGAGAACTATGAAACGCATGGCTCCTAGATGCAGCTCTTGCATTCCAGTCTGGGTATTTCTTGAATTCGAAGCAATGCTGTGATCCAGTGAGATTCAATGAGATTCAATGTGAAGCAATGCTGAATCAAATTCTCAACTTGATTCGGATGATTCTATGAATTGTAAAAGATTCGATGCTCGGATTCGATTCAGGCAGAAGCATCGAGTCAAAGTCATGACGGTCGTGGAGGGCTCCATCATTGTGGACTTCTTCCTCGCCAGGACGCACACGTTGTGAGACTCACTGCGACAGCGGAGACTGCTTGTTTACCACGTTTTGCATGTTTTGCACATGCCAGTTTGGTATGAAGGCTTACCCGTTTTCTTGTGATGCACAACTAGAGCATGAGTTTGATATCTATCACCATGCCATTCCAACGCTAGTATCAGTCTGAATTTGGATCTGTTCGCCCGTTACCAGGAACCAGACAACAGCTGAGCTTCCTGCTCCATCGCTTTTTGAGGCAGGGCTGTTTCGGTTTTGCAACAAGGGGCAGCTTGAAGTTACTGGCATGAGGCTAAACTCCTGCCGTGGTTTGTGTCATGGAACTGCGACATGGACGCGGACTGTTTGCCCCGTTGCTGGCAATTTGACCCTTGCCAGTCGTTGCTTCGAATGCTGGAGCTGAAGACGTCCCCGCTGCATCCTAAACGTGTGTGTGAAGGGCATGTACACCATGCACAACGTAAGACTCGGGATTCCGAGGCTTTGTCAAGACATGAACTTTGGCAAATTTGCTCAAGTGGCGGACATGCAGGAGCACGAGAGTTCAAGCCGTGCAAGGCGACATTTCAGCCATGATGCAGGTGAGGTCGTACGGTCTTACAGAGACGCTGTTCAGATTTGCGCCTACCAATACTTTGAAGCTGTGTTTCATGGATTTGCATGCTTGGTTTGTACCAGCTTTAATTGTAAAGGGCTCGCCCGCCTCAGACCAGTAGGAGAGTACGATGAACACTTGGGTCTTGTCTCGGTTTGGAGCACATGTTTGCATGCATTTCTGAACAGCATGCAAACACCCATGTTTCTTCTTTCGTTCATGGACTTGACTCACCAAAGTCTTGATTGATCTCAAATCGAATGGGGAGGAGATTCCACTTTCGCTTCTGTCCGAAGATGAGCTGCAGACTGCTGCTGTTTTCGAATTGCGCACAGCTCGGTTTGGGGGCAGTCTGCCGGGAGTTTTGTTGCATGCTGGAATTAAATCAGTGCGCACAGGATGAGGAATCAATACGGACCAGAGACAGCGTGTCAGCTGCTGACGGATGTTCGGGACTCGATCGAGTGATTTGCTTCAGGCTGCCAGAATACAGCGAGCAAACTGCTCACAAGCTAGCTCGAAGCATGAGAAACATGTCGGAGTTGACTTGCCGAGGCAAGGGAGGGCCCTGTCAAGTCACACACCCAGAAGATTGGTGCCAGCAATAATATGGCGACACATTTTATGTCAGTGGATGGCAGAATGGCATCGACGCACATGTCTTGTAAGGTGCCCTACAGTCACCTCGGCCTCAGTCCAGCAAGGCGTTGCGGTGACTTCGAGCATTCCTGTCTAATCGCACGGTGGTTTACTCGCCCAGCTGTTGCAGGTTACAAGCTCCTGACACTGATCCTCAGCGCCGGGTTGTTTAACTTCGCCTGAGGTCACTGAGTGTTTGGACAGTGCACATGTGCGAACAATGAGCAATAATAGTAACATGCTGGCATATATCGCTGAAGGCAATACGATCCAAGTTCGGGCATGCTTTGTGTAACACAAGCATCGCTCAGCAATTGTCTCACTGGATTTCACCTACCTCTGACAGCAGAAGCAGCAAGAAGTGTGGCAAAGTTGAATGTCACGAATTCAACTGCTGTGCTTTGAGGCATCTCATGTAGCTAGATCCATGGTCCAGGTCCGTCTCACCAATACGGTGCATCAGGGTAGGAGACGGGCACGAGTCCCGACAGCCATGGCCCAAGTTGTTTGCGGCATGAAAAAGCGAGCAAGACACAGCGAGAGACAACGAGACAGCGAGACACAGTGAGAGTGGCAACCGCCTCGCGCCCACTCGAAGATCTCAGAAGCTCGTAGGTGGGAAGCTTTTGTAGGCGAGACAGACGCGTGATGCGCTCGATGGGTCAACTTGGAGGAGCTGTGAACGCTGTGAATGCAGTGTCTCAACTTGTCTCAACTTTTCCGCCTATGTGGCCTGGCATAGGCAACTGTGAGGTGCCTGGAGTGATAGAGGCACAGGCACGTGCCATTTGATTCGGATGCATGGAAGACAATTGCACGATAGGACAAGCGGTGAAGCAAGACGATGGCTTAGGACGAAAGAGCCAAGCTATGACGGTACCTGGCACATTGCTCAATTTGTGACGCTGAAAGCCTACTTGTTATCTCTCATGCCAGGAAAGCGTGGCAGTGGTGGATTCTGATGCTTACACCCAAGTTGTTGACACTTTGATGGGGGTTGCGCAAGCCGGTTGACCCCAAGGAAGAGTTGCACAGGGGCCACGCAGGTGGCATTGACCAGGATGTGTCTGAGGCAGTTCACTTGGGTTTGTTGCATGGCGGCGTTTGGAAGATTTATCATATTGAACATGAAATACACATTGGCATCTTCTAGACGAGTGTAACAGAGTAGCACCACTTGGGGCGCTTTCCCACATTTGTTTGTCGGTGCTTGCTTGGCAGAAGTTTCTACAGCCTTTCCGTGCAGCTGCTTTGGAGAACTGCAGAATGTGCATGTCACGCAGGACCAGCATGCTTTGCAGGAAGGCCTGGTGCTGCTCCCTGAGCGATCATGAAATACAGCTGGAAGAGTTTCTGGCAGATGCCAATCGGCCCTACCTGAGGGGATTCTGATTCCTAGGGTGGACTGTTGTGAACTGCCCATTTCGAGGGGAGCAACCAACTTTAGCAACTTCCGCCGCTTAGGCAAGACCAAAGCAATTTGGAGAGAGCTGCCATGCCCACAAGCCAAGAGAGTTTTGGGTGCAGCCCAGCATCGCCAAGGCAACCGTTTTCCTTCGCAAAAGAGGGTATCACATCTCAGAGGAGAGGTGCTTAGGTGCTTTAGTGTGGAGGGAGTGGGTGGGTGGGTGGAGGGGGG